GATGGGCTACATACTGAGTAGATTCACATCCGGAAGTGACCTCTTTGACCTGAGTAGTGAAACCAGACAGCTGCTGGCCATTCTGTCCAAGCATGTATCAACACAACATGACAGTTCCATTGTTTTTCTGATATGGAATCATTCAAAGACCTCCATAGTGGTGCAGCTGTGATGTTGGTTGGCAACAGAAGTGCAAATAACATACCCTCATGCATGTCTACCTGAAAAATATTTTCACACAGAAACATACATTGTTGTTTTCTTGTCAACATTATTCGTCAGGCTGGATGCATAGCCAAGTGACTCACTGATCCTCACTAATAATTATTCTGAGGACACTGGTGTTTCATCAGCTCCTTCAGTTATGGCACTGATCTGAAGAGCAACATGCACCACCTTTTAGTTCTAACTTCTAAAACTTCATGACAAATGTCCTGAGCAGCAGACAGTATCTACTCTTCAATAGTAAAGAGCTTCTTAGCTTTAGCAATGTGTTCAACCACTAAGAATGAGCTCTCAGTACAGACACATTGGATGAAGTGTAGTCTTCAGTAATCGCTTCTGTTGTTTGTGTTTTGCTTTTTTCTTTTGAAAACCTCTAAAGCCTTGTCTTTCAGTGCAGGGTGTTTGATCTTCCTGCACTGTGGCAGAGCAGCTTTAAAGTTTTCATGCCTTTGTTGGCTAGTGGTCACCAAACAGAATACACAAGGGGATTTAAAGAATGGGAATCACCTGGCACAGTGAACCTGGGGTTTAAATAGGATCCCTGGCAGCAGCTTTCTTTTTTCTTGTTTTTTTTTTTTTCAATTCTTGCTATATAGTTCAGCCTGGCCTCGAACCCATGGTGGCCTTGAACTCATGGCTATCCTGCATTAGCCTCCCAAGTGCTGGGATATGCCACCATGCCTGGTAGTAGCTTTACTTTTGTTGATATTTTAGAGTCTTCTGCTGCCTCATCATAGGGTTTTTCTTTGTTTTGAAATAAACTGGAAGGGGCCGGGGAGATGGCTCAGTAGAATAAGTGCTTGCCTGGCAAGTACAGGGTATTGAGTTCAATCTCCGGTTCTGAAAAAAAAAAATAAAAGAAAGAAATAAACTGGAAGCAGTGGACTAATTGATCACATACCATTAAGCCTAGCATCACACTCTAGATTCAGCTACCTCTGAAAAATCCCACCTGTGACCTCATGAGGCTTTTAGAAGACATTTAGGCACAAGTCCTGACATTCTGCATCTGACCCCCACCTCCGTCTCCACACATCCCTTTGTAGGCATTTAGTTCATCTCGAAGAGTTGCCAAAGTCCTAACAGTTTTAGCACTGCTGAAAAGTCCAAATCTGAAGTCTTTTTTTGAGATTCAGGGCAAACTTTGCTGGGATCTCCTTTGTAAATGAAAGAAAGTTAAATACTTCCGACATACCATTGGCTCAAAGCTCAAGATGAACATGCCGGATAGGAATGGGACCAAAGCAAAACCAGAATCCAGCGGGGCACACATGAAGTCCTATAGTTCTGTGTCTAGCATCTATGATAGCCTGTGGCAAGATGTGTACTCCAAATGGCTTGGTTGGCTTTGGGTCTATGTTGCACTGCAGGTGATTATAGCTCCACAGCTTGAACCATCTCTGCTCATTCCTAGCATCTTTTTTCAGACAATCCATGTTCCTAGCTTCTCCAAACTTGTGGGGTCTCTATTGTACCTTTAGCTTTACACTCACAGCTTCATAAACGGCCCTCTCTGGAGCACATTATCTGTCCTTCCTGACCCCACAACACTTGCATTCTTTATGCACCTAAAGCCAGCATCACATGGATGATGCCAAGGTTTGCTGCCAATTGAAGCAGTAGCCAGGTTTCCTTCTTTCTTGGTTATATGAGATGAGTTCCTAAATCCTTGAGTACAGTGAACTCAGTCCTGAGGAACAAATTCTCTGGCCTTCCATCATTCTGGAACATGGTGCTCTGGGGCTGTCTTCTATCTTTTTTTTTTTTTTTTTTTTTTTTAATGTATTTGGTACAGAGTCTCGCTATGCAGCTTGGATTTATAGTGATCATCTTGTTTTTAGCCTCCCTGGTACTGAGATTACAGGCGTGTACTACTACACCCAGTCTAGGTGGCCCCCTAAACATGCGCTGGGGTGAGGGCAGAACTGGTACAGCATGTGGTCCCTACACTTGCCTAAGGAGGTGCTTAGTCTGCTGAGTTACTGCCCTGGCCCTAAGGGAGGGGAAAGGGGTGGTACTGTCTTCTTAAAGTACATTCTTTCACTTTTGGAATCTTGTGGCTGCAAAGACTGGAGTTCTGTTTTTTATAATGTTTGCAGAGGTATATTTTCTGCATGGTCTTGAACTTCCAGGTCAAGAGTGTCAGGAAAAGAAAAAAAAAAAAAAAGGTTTGGCCTGTTGCTGTACACAGCTAGTCCCAGCACTCTGGAGGCTGATCCAGAAGGATTGCTGTGGAGGCCAACCTGGGCTACATAGTTAGGTTCAAGGTCAGCCTGAATTACAGAAAAAAACAACAGCAAAAGTATAATATTAATCTACCAAATTGGGAGGATTATTCCTTCTCTCCGGCCTCTAAAAACCCCAAAGGTCAAAAGATTACTATAAAAATACCAGAAATATCACACACACACACACACACACACACCCCATTGTACAGTAAGAAACCAAGAGTAAAAGAAAGACAACCCATAGCGGCTGCAGAAAATGTGTTTTATCTCTGTATTTCCAGTATATTTGATTAAATGAAGGATTGAAATAATATGAAATAAGGGTCTCTGAATCATGACCAAGAAATGGGAAATAAAAATAGAACTTGTAGTTATAGAAGATTTCATTGACATAGATGAAGAGAAATTAGCTGGGCATGGTGATGCATGTCTGTAATCCCTGCCCTTGGCTAAAGCAGAATGATCGCCAGGAGTTCAAGGGCAGCCTGGACTACAGGATAAGACCTTTGAGGGAGGGAGACAGAGACAGGCTATGTGACCTGGAACATTATATTGAAGATCTTGTTGAGAATACAACAAAGACAATAAACATATGAGAGGTTGAGGCATAAAAAATTATAGTGACTGGGGCCAGGATCATAGCTCAAGGGCCTGAGTTCAATCCCCAGTTTTGAAAAAAAAAAAAATTATAGTGACAAATTTTAATATTGTATCTAATTTTAATTCCAGAAGCAAATACATATAAATGAAGGACAAATTAGAGTGAAACTGAAGCAAGCCAAAGGCAGAGGAGCCTTAAAATTAGCAGCCAAAGTGAATCGGCAGACTACTATAAAAATCTTTTTCTTTATTCTGACAACTGATATCCCAGGAACAACAACAGAAGCCAGAGAACACTGGAATGCTATTTTTTTAAAAAAAATAATTTAACTATTTATTTATTTGATTAATTAAGCAAACAGCATGCTTGACAGGTGCTGGTCCTGGGCAAAAAGAGATAAATCAAACAGTTTCAAGTAACATAGTTTAAGAGGAAAGGTAAACATGTAAATTCCATTCATTCACTAATGGAATGCTATTTTCAGTGCACTAAAAGCTAGCTATCAGTCTTGAAATGGCATGCCCAGCAAATCTTGAAGAATGACCATGAAATAAAGATGTTTCAGACAAAAATAAGAATTTACTTACAACATTAGATTCTATAAGTATTTTCCCCATCTTTTTCTTTTCTTTTTTCTTTTTCTTTCTTTTTTTTTGAGATAGGGTCTTGCAAAATTACCTGGGCTGGGTATGCACTCAAAACCATTTTCCTCTCAGCCTTACAGGTGTTTTACCTCACACCCAGCTATAAATATTTTATCCTTCTTCCTTTTCCTCTTCTTCTCCTCATTTATGTATTTGGTACAGTGTCTCACTGTGCAGTTTAGACTGTAGTGGTCCTGTTTTCAGCCTTTGCAGCGCAGGGATAATGGCATGCACCACCATGCCCAGACTTGGTCCAGCTCAGCGTGCCCCCGGGGTTGAGGCTGACACAGCATGTGGGACAGCGTTCAAACCCTGGACCTGTGCTTGCCAAAGCAGGTGCTTAGTCTACTGAGCCATCTCTGTCTCATGGGCCCTATACATGTTCTTAAAAGGATTTACCATTTACATTTTCTTTAACAGACTATCCTGGCTTTGTTTATAAATGACTGTTAGGGCTGGGGGCGCTGGGCGTGTTGGTGCACACTGGAATTCCTCCCCATTCTGGAGACTGAGACTGGAGGGTTACTACAGGTTTGAAGCCAGCCTAGGTGACATAGTGAGTTCAAAACCACCTTAATTGCAAGACCCTGTCTGTGAGTGATGAATAAGTGAACAAATGAATATTGGGACTAGTTTTATGTGATGAAGATGCATGTTTCTTTCTGGAGTTTGATTTAATTATATTGTAAGCAAAAACGTCCCATTTTGGTTCTCTTGCTTTTGGATTAGAAATGTTTTTGACAGAAACAGTATGCCAGCTGAAATGCATTCTTCCTAAAAGAAAGTATTCCTGACTTTCTAGAGTATAGTCTATTTTTTTTTTTGAGTTATTGGAGGTTGAACCCAGCACATTTGCACTGTGCTACATCTCCAGCCCTTTATTTCTTGAGACAGGTTCTCATTAAGTCAGGGTGAGAAATTGCCATGGGTTAGGTCAAACTTGTGGTACTTCTGCCCCAGCCTCCCAGGAGTACTGGGATTATAGGGCGTGCTACTATGCAGGCATGATTTTTCTGTAGTTTTTTCATTTTTTAATAAATATTTACTAGGGCCATTTAAAGAAATATTGAGTAGGAACGAAATGGCACATTTTGTTTTAGTTTTACTGTAAAAGGCTACTATTTTAGTGCTGCATTTTTTTTTCTAGCTCTGTGTATTTTATATCAGCCAGCTAACAGTATAAAAATAAACTTGTTTAAATAAAAATGTCATTTAGAAGGGGAAAAGGCTATTTCTTTGCTTGGGAATTCTCTAATATGATCTCATTATAAGAAGATGTCTTCTGTCCTTTTGCCATTTCAGGTGCAAGTGAAAGTGTAGGAAAGCACATGCTTGAAGCCTGCAACAACAACCTGGAGATGGCAGTCACTATGTTCCTGGATGGGGGAGGAATTGCTGAAGAGCCCAGTACCAGTTCTGCGAGTGTCTCCACAGTTAGACCACACACGGAGTACGGGTTGATTGTGTACTATTAGTGCTACCCTGCCTAATCAAGTAGTCATATTTTTGTCAAAATTAGGTCATTTATGTTTGCTTAAAAAAAATTAGGGGCTGGGGAGATGGCTCAGTGGAATAAGTGCTTCCCTGGCAAGCGCAAGGGTCTGAGTTCAATCCCCGGTTCAGAAAAAAAAAAAAAAAAGAAAAAGAAAAAAAAAAAAATTAAAGGTTGAAGCCCCTAAAAATATGTTAGGTAGAAACTTTTCTACTTATAAATCTTGAGTTTTAGGCCAGACATGGTGTCACACACCTGTAATCTCCATACTCGGGAGGCTGAGGCAGGAGGTTCACCATGAATTGAAGGCCAGCCTACACTACATAATAAGACCCTGCCTCAAAAAATAAAACAAATCCAAAAATGCCCTTGAATTCTCTAGAGCATTGTTTTGTCTGTTATTTAATACTCTGCTAAGCCAGTCCTCAGAAAACCTGTGTGGGCCTCATGTGAGCCTGGTAGCTGAAGGCCCAGAGGCAGGACCTGTGAGTTTTGTAGCAGCCAAAACCAAAATGGACAAGTAGAACCACCAGATAGCCTCACAAGGTAACATTGTTACCCATGTCATACTGAAGCTGCAGAACATTAAGCAGTGGATATAGAGGACCAAGTAACACATGTATTTCTGGATTCTAGATAGTCCTGCTTTTTCTTAGGAAAGTGAATAGCTATACAAAATTTTCAAACAATTCTAGACTGGGTTAGTAGTTCAGTAGTAGAGCTTTGCTTAGGAACCTGCATTTAAACTTCAACACTTAAAAAATTAAATTTAAAAAGAAAAAGAATCTTGGTCCTTCTTACCTTAAATAGTTATACTTGGGCACTTTAAAGAAATAGCAGGGCTGGCCCGAGAGCCCAGTGGACCAAAGCTCCCGCTTAGGCAAAGCACAGGGACTAGGGTTCAATCTCTGGCTCTACATGCTAGGCTTGCCCACCCCCCAGCCACTGGGCCTTCTGAGATGGGGGACTGAGACTGGGCGTGGTGTTGCCCGCCTGTAATCCCAGCACTTGAGATGCTGAAAACAGGAGGATCATGAGTCCAATCTGTAGTGAGACTTTGTAGACTCTGTACTAAATACATTAAAAAAAAAAAAAAAAAAGAAAGAAAGAACTGGCAAGTAATTGTTCAGTTAGTACTGTTTTTTTTATTATTATTATTATTATTATTATTATTTTTTTTTTTTTTTTGGGGGAACTGGGGATTGAACTTCAGCCCTTGTACTTGCCAGGCAAGTGCTTATTCCACTGAGCCATCTCCCTGGCCCCAGTATTGTTTTTATTATGAAAGAAGACTACTATTTTAATACCAGTGAGGTATAAAATAAGTGTCTGTTGGGTAACATTCCAAAACTTTAGAAAATATTTTAAAAATGCAAATTAGGGCTGGCCAGATAGCTCAGCAAACCAGAGTTTCTGCTTAGGCAGGCTCAAGGACTGGGGTTTGACCCACACAGCATCCTGTGTGGGCCCTGCCCCCCCCCATGCACTGAGAGTGGGCGTGGTGGTGCACACCTATAATCCCAGTGCTTGTGAGGCTGAAAGCAGGAGGATCACTACGAGTCCAATCTGTGTAGTAAAACTCTATGTAGACTCTACTAAATACATTAAAAAAAAAAAAAATTAAATCAACACTGAGATTTTATCTTAGCCCAGAAAGAATGGCCATCATCAAGAAATCAAATAATTGGGGCCAGGGAGATGGCTCAGTAGAAGAAGTGCTTGCCTGGCAAGCACAAGGGTCTGAGTTCAATCCCTGGTCCCGCCCCCCATTAAATAAATAAATAAATAGATTAGTAAGTTAGTTCATTGTTTAAAAAAAAAAAAAAAAAAGAAATCAACAACAAATGGTAGTGAGGCTGTGAGGAAAGGAAGCCCTTACTAGGTTATGTAAACTAGTACCACTGGTTGTATGGCGATTCCTCAAAAAAACAAAAAATAGAAATTCCGTTTAACCCAGCTATTCCAGTGTTTCTTTTATATAAAAACTTCAAGTAGAAATAAAAGATAGATAATAGGAAATAAGAGGATAGATTTTTTTTTTTTTTCAAATGGAAAGGAAGCCAAGAGATGGAATGGAAAAAAAGTAAAAACAATTTAGATGTGTTATGCCTATACCAACTATTCATGATGAATGTAATCATATACTGCAAATTTAGGTTAGTAGTAAATTATTTTTAAGAACAAGAATAGACAAAAGGCCAGGATTTTATTTTTACTAAAGTAGATGAATTTAAAAGTCAAGAGTGCATGAGCTGGGCTTGGTGGCACACGCCTGTAATCCCAGCACCCAGATGACTGAGGTGGGATCATCACTCTGAGTTCAAGGTCAGCCTAGTCAAGGAGTATTCAAGGCCAACCTACATATAGTGAAACTCTGTCTCAAAGAAAAAAAGTGTACATGCAGGTATAATTGCCTGTTTTGTTGATCTAGTTCATGGTCAATACACTATTGTTTCCACACCAAATGTGAACTTTAGGCATCATTATTAATGATGTCTTACAACTTTGTGTTGTTAATGTTCACCATATATTTCAATTGTGATATTTCATTCTCCAACATGGTTCAGGTTTTTAATGGAAATCAGCATAAAAGCTTAGTTCTTTTTATAGAAACAGGATAGTAGAGATTTACAGTTGATTTGGGGAACATATGCTTCCTCATTGTACAAAACAATTTTTGGGGGTTGGAGCAGTGCAGAGGATGGGACCGAGGGCCTCACTAGGCAAGCATTCTTAGACCCAGCTATTTCCTTAGCCCATGGGTTTGGTTCATTTTGTTTTGTTTTATTTTGGTGGTGCTGAGGATTGAACCCAGGCTCTTGTGCAGTGCTGTTCCATGAAACTATATTTTTGTTCCCTTTTTCATTTTTAAAATTTTGGGACAGGGCCTCAAAAATGATCTTCCTGCCTCAGCTTCTGAAGTAGACAGAATTACAGACATATACTACTGTACCAGATCAGCCTATTTCCTTTTGGTGAAAGTATTAACAGAGCTTCTTAGCCATGTCTGTTCCTTCAGATTATGGAGATCTAAGTGAGCATGGTGACCGATGTCTGGAAGGACACATCCTTAAAAATAAATTGTTCTTAATCCTCTGGTCAATTGGCTTATGTAGATGTCTTTGTCTAACTGTGGTTCTTTGATGGGGATGAGGGCTGGGGATGTATTTCTCCACATTGCCGAGCTGAACATGTGTGAGGCCCTGGGCTCAGTCTCATTGCTACAAACAAACAAAAACACTCTAATACTGGTTGTTAGTGACCTGATAAATGAGTATTGACAGTTTGTTTAATATTTTTTTGGTGCCAGGGTTCCAACTCAGGACCTTGTGTTTGCCAGGCAGGCACTTAGCCACTGAGTTATCTCCCTGGCTGGACAGTTTGTTTCATGAAGTACCTTTTGGAGTTCCATCTCAGACATGAGAAAGAAAACCTTAATCACATTCATTAGTATAGTATTAGAAACATCTGAAAGAAAGTTAAAGCGGGCCTATCTTAATATGTATTTGTATGTAATTCATATGCATATACTTGTATATTACTATTATTTTCCATGAACATTATTCAACAGAGTTTTCTATTTGGTTGTAAGAGAAACATTTTTAAAGGCACAGAGCATTTTTAAAAGATAGCCTTTTTTGGTGGGGGCATGCTGTGGAATGAATCCAGAGCCTCACACAGGCTGAGCACAGTCACTGAACCAAATGAGCACTTTACAAAATATCTTTTTTTTTTTTTTTTTTTTTTTTGTGGTATCAGGGATTGAACTTAGAACCTTACAAGCAAGCACTTATTCCACTGAGGTATCTCCCAGTCCCACTTTTACAAAATGTCAAAAGGAGTATTTTTTAACTGGTTAAGGTGGGCTACTTAGTGTGCGCTATGAAAGTAAATTTTGAAGGAGATAGGCTTTTAGAAGATGTAGTATTACCTTTCTTGTTCAGTGTATTAGGATCTGTGTGGCAAATAATCGAAACTTCATCTATGTCAGCCTTTTTCATAATCATAAAATTTACTATTTAATATATTTTTGTGATTTATTTATTTTTTAAAAAAATATTTGATTAATTAGTTACAGAGTCTTGCTACACAATTCAGACTCTTGGTGATCCTCCTATCTCAGCCTCTCCAGTGCTGGGATTATAGGCATGAGCCACCATGCCTGGTTTTGGGGCTGGCATGGCATATGATACCAGGGATCAAACTCTGGTCCTTGCGCTTGCCAAGCAGGCGCTTAGATAGCTGAGCTATCTCCCAGCCCCATGATTTAATTAGCTGTTCTTTTTTCTTTATTAACCATTTTGAGTTATTTATGGTAGGTATTTTTTTCTTGTTAATCTCTTGGAAACTAATACCGTATTCATGATTACTGTGGTTCCTAAAATGTTGCTAAGTCTCATTTTATTTGTTAATTTGAATACATCCACTATAATTAGAGAAAGAAAAAAAATAATTTTCTT